TCTCTCTCTCTCTCTCTGTGTGGGTCTGTGTGTGTGTCTAATCCCTAGCACTAAGCCTCACAGCATTGCAATTCAGCAACCTGTTGCCGAACTGTAGCTCCTACCCTGTGTGTGTGGACTGAGTGCTGGCCCACCTATATACCGCTGGGCCTACTGGACGTGCCACCGGCCTGCGTGTAGGAATGTGATTCAAACCACGACAGCTGGTCCTAAATGCAGGCTCCAATCCTGGCCACCTGGGCCTCAGAACACACCAGCTGGGTCCCTGCCAGATGTCCTCGCATATGGGTTGATGAGAAAAGGACGAGGGATGGGCCAGTCACTAAAGGACAAACCAGGTCCAGCCCATAAATGGATAAAGGTCTGCTGGGCCTCCAAACGGCCAAAAAAAACGTGGGAACGAGTGCTCCACTGGTCCGAACAGGAACTTGTGCCCAAACCCAACCAAACCGCCCCCCCCACCCACCCCCACCCACCCACCCACCCCAACCACCCCTTAGACACATGCACACACACACACCTTGCACTGTCGCACATGGGTCTGGCTGTCCATATGGACCTGGGGGCCAACCGGACCATTTTACAGGGCCCACTTTCAAATGGACTGGGGTCGAATTGGACTGGGTCCTGGTCGAATCTTTTGGACAAAGCCTTTGGCTGCATGGACCACTTATTTGAAAATGCGAACTTTCTGCAGTTCCCAGTTTCGGCGAAACAGCTTCCCGCAGATTGTGTTTTGCGGCGCACTTTTTTGCGGCCCACAGTTATTTCTGGGGCTCACGAACTCAAACGGCACTTTCTCAAGTTAGCCTCCCCCCCAAAAAAACCACCCAGGCCAAGACAGTTGCCCTGCTGGCTACCTGATTTTCTATTTGACGGAGACCGACAGAACACAAGGGAAACGGACAGCGGAATTGCTTAGGCCGCTTCCTGTAGACACAAAAAAAGTTAAAAAAAGTTGAAAAACCCTTTAGAATTCTGTCAACCTCTCAGTTTTCTGGCATGTCCTTGGTACTACAGTCTTCCCCCGAATACAACGTACGGTCATAATAGCTGAATTTGGTGTATCTTTCGGTCTAAATTCAGCTATAATGACCATATGCTGTACTCGGGGGAAGACTGTGGCAACTCAATTTGAAGTTTGCTCATAAATGTAATATGTATAAATTGCCAAGCTATCCTTCAGTCTGGTACAGCCATGACGGGGTTGCGTTGTTGTGTTTGGAGGGGAGGATGGTCACCATGGTGGCCATTAGACTGGCTCGTAGATGTTGCGGTCAACACACACACACACACACACACACACACACACACACACACACACACACACACACACACACACACACACACAGAGTGAAACTAACTGTTTCTTCTTCTTTTTTTTTTTTAACTGTTTTTCATTCTTTGTGGTGTGCTTATGTGACTGACATTTTGGTTTTCCTTCAGGTGCCCAAGTCCTGTGGTTGTGGGGACCACAAGGGCACGGTTTCTTTCCGTTTCCTTTCCGTGCGGTGAGTGTAGTTACCCCCACCCAAGGTGTGCCAGGTGCGGAGTACTCCAACTCGCTCACCCTGCAGGAGGTCCTCCTTAAAATAAACCTTGTGATGGTTGGGCCCGTTGGGCATCTCCTCCCCAACAGAATGTCTAATCCTGCTGCGACCGACCTCTAGGATAGTCGCCCTGAGCGCACTCACAGGTGGATATATTCTACATATAAGCCGAGCCATCACTTGGAAAACTCTGTGGCGCGTGCCACCTGCTGGGGATGTCGACAACTTCCCCGTGCTGAACCGGGGGGCCTAAAAAAAAATGAGACTAGGACGGTATCTGATCGTCTTCGATCCCCCAACTTTCGTTCTTGATTAATGAGAACGTCCTTGGCAAATGCTTTCGCAGAAGTTCGTCATCCATAAATCCAAGAATTTCACCTCTGACAATGGAATACGAATGCCCCCAACCGTCTCTATTAATCATTACTCCAATCCCGAAGACCAACGAAATAGGACCAGAGTCCTATCGCGTTATTCCATGCTAATATGTTCAGAGCACAGGCCTGCTTTGAACACTCTAATTTTTTCAAAGTTGGACCATGGTGTTACCTTTCATCTTAGTCCTCGTTTCTTTTTGGTCATGTGTGATGGATTTTCAATTTGTTTATGCATGATATCGGAAATAAAAATTGTGAATCATGAAAGGGATTCAAACGGAGATTACGATGCCGGCAGCATTGCGCGAACAACATGCCCCTCTCCTCCTTACAATCCCCATTACGGTACCCCGCCCCCGCCCCCCTCCTCCCATTCTTCTTCTTTTCATCATTGGTATGCACGACATACTAACAGTGTTGACTGGGCTGCACATCATGACTAGAACACATGCCCGTATGACATGGGGCCCTGGTTTGAAAAGCGACTCTGCTATGTGACAGCTGAAGGCCGTGCGGAACGGTCTGAGCATATGCATGACTCCAACACTCTCTTAGTGCCAAATATAGCACAACATATGCGGTTTGTGGTCTCTAACACTCGTCTCTATGCCGCGGATGGCACTTTGTGCCAAGCGGCTCTCTTTGCATTGGCGCATATGATAAGGCTGAGGCTTGGACATTCCCTGTCATACGCTATCCTAGAGCTTCCTTCAATGCCCCAGCTCATCAGCCCGCAGGTGTGGTCACGGGACATCTGGCGAGGTTCAAGCATTATTTTAACAATTCTACCAACTTCAAATCTGCAAGGACTTCCTTGATATGATGTATGCTCGTTGGGGGCCATCCTCCCAGTGTCCTGCCCTGAGGTTGGACTGCAGGCATCGTAAATACTAAATATCGAGTCCACTGTCTTCAATGTGGTGAAGATTTGTACAATGCTGCAGGCCTGCACGTGTGCCCCAGACACGGGTTCCAGCCACCTTGTGCAGCATTCGCATGACTAGCAGCCACTTTGAGTACACGTGCGGCTGATCAGCTCCCGGTTCTGGCATCTGACCTTTTTTTTTTTGTTCTTTTTTTTTTCATTTTTCATTTGATGGAACCCCCAACTGGAGATGATCCGTTTTGGGAAAACATGCCAGAACCAATGGGGTTATCAGTGATCAGAGGCAGAGGTACCGGACAGAGAGTGTCAATACTGGAATGAGCCTCCCTCTGTCATGCGATCTGTAAGATTAAACGATCTCATCGTGCTGCAACGAGGCCACCGTGCATATTATTATGCCATTAATGTGTGTCTCCTCGCTTTACAATTGCAACCCCTCTAGCAGCCTATACTGTTTCTGATATTGCGGACATTGTCTGATGGATAGAAGCAGAGCATTGTGCTGTTTGCCCAGAGGATGACAGTGCAGCAGCTGGTGTGAGCATGGAAGTGCTGTCTATGGCACTCATTGGAAAACGATTGCAACTCCAGCCAACTCCACAGAGATATGTACCTGACAATCCTGACATGGACCCGAATACACGTGCGTACATCCTGCGTCGTTCGCATTCTTGGGAAAGCAATTGCAACTCCAGCCAGCTCCACAGAGATATGTACCTGACAATGCTGACATGGACCCGAATACACGTGCGCACATCCTGCGTCGTTGAAGCCACTTCAGTGCTACTACCTTTGCGGATAATGCATGGACCTGTGCGATACTGGTGCTGCGGTGTACTTGGTTGGTAATATTACGGCTTACTGTCAACGAGTGGCAAAATCCCACTTGGTCTGGCTTGTGGCTCAGGAACAGTATGCGGATGCCCACTCGCAAGCTCCACAGCTTCCAGAGAACGATCCGGCCGACCCTCCCTGCTCTCCCGAAACAGGCCGAGCAGCGTCTTTTGCCTGTGCAAATCAGATGGATTCTGCTGCTGGTGGTGAGGGGGGCTCTTCGGACGACGGTCCCTACCCCATGCCATTGTGTTTCCGTACACGCACAGTCCAGTTAGGATGTGCACGACATAATCTCTGCTCTGAAAAAAATGAACAAATACGTCGGATAGTATTGCCAGCCTCTGCCATGAAAGCTGTAACACCTTGTCTTGCACGCATCCCCCCCACCCGCATATCACTTGCCTGATATGTCCCTGTGGCCTTCACATGCCATGCTTTAATACCTGTCATTGTGAGCCAGATGTCGTACTAGCATTTCAGCAACATGCCAGGTGCCATCAATGTTTTCAGGAGGCTGTCATAGAGAGTATGTGTCGCTATTGTGTGGATTATCCCTGATGCCATCACTCGCCGCATCCTCTCTCCATTCATGTCCCACATGTAATGTTGGGCATCCTCCGGCTGCACCTGTAAAAGGAGCCCCTCCATGCTTGACAGATGAGGAGGAGATGCAGCAGCATGAGGCGGAGAATAGACTCTCACAGAACCACCTACACTGCGCCATACTGAAAGGTTATAGCCATCAGAGCAAGCAGTTGCAGACCAGATCTTGCAACGGGTCAATAGACTCAATACCCTTACCATCCATTATGTATCAGGGCCCCTCTACACCCGCCCACAGAGAGGGAACATCGGTTGTGGAACCCCAATAAAAAAAATTCCCAATGCTGTACGGTGATGGCCCACCTGAAATTCATCTAGCATGGGATTCCCATGCTTTGTGTTATGAGGATTATGATGGATTGTATAGCCCGTCCAAGTCTTTGTCTTCATACGTATGATGACAGGCAACATTGTAGGCATGCACAACCCCCCCTGACATGATATGTCCTATTTATAGACAGGGGCTGCACAGGCAATGTCAGTACAACTGCAGTTAGCATGCCTCTGCATTCCTAGCACCTGGCCGCCATTTTGCCTGTGACATCTGTCTACGCCGTGCCATTTGGTGCAACAACTGCGGCCCCTGCAACTGCGACCTGCAACTGGGACCTGCAACAGCGAGAACTGGGTGCAGTGTTTCCTTCAGTTCACACACAAACCTGTCCTGTGACTCCTGTCCCATCTGCAGGGGTGACCATTTATCATCATAGGCGATACCCACTCCTCAACTCTGTTGTCTCTGCAACCCAAAGACTGACTGGCCTCTTGTGCCAGGCTATAATAGTCTGCACTGCCAACCCCCCGTTCGGCCGGGGCCCGTTCACCTGGCCATGGTGGGGCTGTGAACGCCCGGCAGTGACCGTGCAAACAGGGCGCGGGATTTTTTTCTTGACCTGAAAATGCTGCCCCGCGCCCCCCCCCCAAAAAAAAAAACTACAGGGCTGCACCTACAAAGGAGCTACCCTCCTATATGTTTTTAGATTTTTTTGAACTTTTTCCCCTATATAGTATATACTATTAAAGTATTTTGAAAAATCAAGAACAATTTTTTTTTTTTCTTTAATTGCACGATGTGTGCAGTACACAACACTCATAGTGAATGTGGCCCATTACCTGGGCCACACTCCAAATGGATGTGGACTGCTGAGTGCATGCAGATACATTCAATATGCTGTCCAGGACAGCAATGTCTTGCCCTCCCCTCTCTCTCTCACACACACACACAACAGGGACACTGATTGATTGGCTATTTGATTGATTGCTTGATTGTTTGATTCATTCATTCATTCATGATTGATTGATTGATTGATTGATTGATTGATTGATTGATCGATAGATGGATTCCGTGATGATTGATTGATTGATTTGTTTGATTTGATTGATTTGTTTGATTTGTTTGACTTGATTGATTGATTGATTTGACATTCTTTTTTTTGAAAGGGGGGTCGGCCCCAATTTTTTTCCTTCACTTTTTTTCCCGTGTTCTCAATGGGGGTGTAGGGGGGCCTTGCACCATCCCCGTCCCGCCTTTCGCTATCCGGGGGGGAGGGGGGGTGGGGCAGAAGACCCTGAAACGGCTGTGAACGGCTGTTCACAGCTACGAACGCCCGTGAACTGCCGTCCGCCGGTCACTGAACGTTGCGTTCAGCGTTCACGGTGTAGAGGCACTGACAGTCTGCCCTGCCGGTCAATACTCAGAACCCTCTGAAGTCCGTCCTTCTTCCCCCCCCCGGTAAGTCTTCTTCTCCCTATCTCCCTCCCCTTCCCTTTCTCCCGCCTCTTCTTCTTTCCCCTATCTCTCTCCGTTTTCCTTTCTCTCTCTCCTCCGGCCACTGCACAGAACTACTTAAGGTATACAAAAGAAAGAGCATCATAAAGAGAACAAACTATCATAAAGCGAGCAGACAAAATATACCCCCCGGGCCCTCCCACTTTACTCTGAGTCCTCTAGACAGCATGCACGTGGACCGCTATGGCACCCACGGGGATGTGGGCAGCTCACACTCCATCACAATCATCAACGTACTGAGCCTTGTATCTGAGAGGCACAGTAAAGAGGAGCTGCAAGACGAAGAACTAAAAGAGAAACCACAAGAAAAGCCAAAGTAAGGAATGTGAGAAAAACTGCACAAGCAAAAGAGGCAATACTGTAACAACGGTTTCAGTGTGTTTCATGTGCTGTCTGCTATAGAAGACAATGCTGCTAAGGTAAAGCTATTCCAGTTCCGGTTGTGGATCTACTCATCTGCGTGGAAAAGGGGTTGTTGTGATGACAGGTCACAACAGAGTCAACAGACAGATTGTTTTTTCAGTGGGACGCTGGACCCGGTTTCCAGCAGGTGCAGCTCCCCATCAATAGATGGAGTGACTAAAAGGAGTCTAGTAGGGGGGGATGCATCCATCACCCTCCCTATTAGAAACCGCAAAGTCTTCAAAAAAATAAATAAAAAAAATCACCACACACACACACCCTCGCATGCCACCTTGTAGTGAATACGTTAACCTCCTTGGTGCAGATCAGTGTGCTGGGGTGCACATTGAACATCCAGTTTGCCGCTGGCGCGCTTGTCTTTGTGCCCATTCAGCAGAGTGCCGGTCAAGCTGTGTACTCGCAGTTGGAGTGCGAATGTGTGCGTGTTCACTCCTTTTCTGTCTCCATCCAGTTTGCCGCTGGCGCGCTTGTCTTTGTGCCCATTCAGCAGAGTGCCAGTCA